AGCAGTGACTTAAAACATGTCAGGGTCTGGTCTGTTTTTTCCATCGGCATGTGCTGTTCTCATTAATGGCAGTTTCTCACACACTCGGTAAGGGAATGGGCCAAAGTATGTTTCGTTATACCATGAAGGCTCATCCAAACCTTAACGGATGCGGTAAGCCACAAATTTTCTCCAAACTATAATCATCTTTGTGAGATAAAGTGCTCATGACCCAAAGCCTCTCTGACCTTTGAAATATTATCAAGGTCTTAAAAAAATTTTTTCCCCCAATAATGAGGCAACTTTATGATATGCACTTTGTCCTATGAGATTTGAAAACATCTCTTCATCTGCCAAAGACACTTCTATTTTCTTGTTGGTCAAATCATTAGCCTAGATAATAGAGGACAGGGGCCAAACCCAGACCACCACCTGTTTTGGTAAATAAAGTTTTCTTGGATTGCATCTAACCTAAGTCATTTATATATTGTGACTCCTTTCACTTTAAATGGCAGAATTGAGTAGTTGCCACAGAAATTGTGTGGCCAGCAAAATCTAAAGTATTTACTACCTGGCCCTTCATAAAAGAAATCTGTCAATCCCCATCTAGATCATTCTCTTATACAGAAAAAATGAAATCCGCTTGAATAATAGGTGTCTATCATATTCTCAGAGAATTGAAAAAGTCTCCATGTTATCGAATCCAGATTCTTTGCTGATTAGAACAGAAATGAGGAACTGGAGACAGGTTACTAAGCTGGGAGTTGGGAATGAGTCACTCATTCATTCATTCATTCATTCATTCCACATAATACGCCACCACCAGTGCGGTAAATACTAGTGTCAGAGTGTGAACAAAACAGATAACGCTTCTGGCCTCAGGAGTGTAAAGTGACCTTTTCATTCATTCATTCATTCATTCATTCATCGTTATGTGCCAGGAAATATTTTAGGTACTGGGTATATATCGGATAACCAAAAAAACCATATATTCTAATGAGGGGAGAGAGATAATAAATAAGTACTTATAAAAATAGCAGGTACTGAAAAGTGCTACGATGAGGCTATTAATTAAGCCACGTGAAAATGAGTTATTTTAATAGGTCAAAAATGGTTGAATATTGGCAGTTTTATACAGTTCAACCTATCGGGGAGATACGCCAGGGAGTGACTTTGGAATGATTTTAAATTGGGGGGCCTGGGACAGTTTCACTGAGGAGGTAATATCGGAGCTAAGACTTGAATGACAAGCAGCATCCCGCCCTGCGAATAGCAAAAATTTCTGGGCAGGGAGAGGAGTAGCTTGTGCAAATGTCCTCGGGCCAACATAAGCTTGGCTTGTCTGAGGAAGAGAAAGAGGACCACAGTGGCTGCAGCAACGTGCATCACAAGGAGAGAGAGATGATATGGCTGGAGAGGTCGTCAGGGTTAGGTCAGATGGGGTCTTGTAGGTGAAGGTAATTGGCTTTTATTTAAACAGTAAAGGGGAGGCTTTAAATAGCAAAGTCACAGGATCTGATTTATGGCTTTCGAAGTGTTTTCGCTCCTGTGTAGAAAATAGACTGAGAGCACGAACTGAAGCAGGAAGATGAGCTGGGAGGTCAGACAGAGTTCTGAGTAGAACAAGATGACAGCAAGGGAAGGTGGAGGAAAGCGGGGAGTCTGTAGATGTTTAGGAGGTGAAATCGACAGGAGCCGGTGATAGTGTGGATGAAATTAAGAGGGAAAATGAGGGATTGGGGAGGATATGTAGCTTTCCAGCTGAGTACCTGCCTGGATAGCTGTGTGACTCATACGCCTATGAGCACCGGCCATGAACCAGGTCTTGGGCGAGATTACAGATACAGTTTGCAACCTGAGGTTGAGTCGTCTTGAAGACATTCCATTAGCTGTGCTGAGAAGTCTGGGAGCTCTAAGGAGAGGTCTGGGTTGAGCTGTCTTAAATTGCGGGAGCAGAGAAGTGAAGAAAACTGAAGGCAAGCAAAACCCCTCAGCGGACAAGATGGAGTTAAAGAGGAGGGTCGTGGAGACAACTTGCCCCATTAATGGGTTCTGTGACCTCATCTATCACTTCATCTTCTGTGCTCAATTCCCTCGTCTCTGAATGAGAGAGTTAAACTAGATTTGGGATTTTCTGGACTCTTGCATGGAGGCGATGCAGGGGCTGGGGAGGGTCAAGCAGAGGTGAGGTGTTCAGAGCTCCAGCTCGTCAATATTTTTTTCCCTCAAGTAATAGCAATGAACATTATACCGTGTATTAATCATATTGCCAGCGTTGTCTTTCATTCTTTTTATCATAGGTCTGCTACATCATCACCTCCTTTTTCTTCTGTGCACTAAGAATATTTTTTTCTTGATCTGGCTGATTTTGATTCTTATCTCGGAGTGAAGCTTTCATGTTTGTACTTTCCCAGTGATGAAGAGGGGAATGCTGAAAATCGTTGGTGATTCTTTTGGTGAGATTTAGGATTTTTAAATGCCCCTTAAGGTAGACGTCAGATTAAAAACAGCTAACAGCACCATTCCCTGCCTCGATTTTTCCATTTGACAGAAGGGACCTAGGACGATGTCAAACATACAGTTCTTGAGAAAGGTGTATGACCTGAACTTGCATCCGACCAGATCACATGTTAAAACACTAAATTATGATGTCAGCAGATTCAAAAATTATTCCTTATGATCACTTTTCATGAGCAGCAGGTTTGGCAGAACTCCAGGTTACATGCCTGGAGCAAACACCTGAAAACATTCCAGGTTATGCAGCTTTGATAGCCTTTCTGCTGTTAAAGACTAAGCATTCTGCTCATCTGTTACTCAGACGAGGGCAGTGACAGCTCTCCTAACTGGAAGGGGTCTCTCACCTCTGGATTTCTAAAGCGTTCTCTACTGACACACCTCATACCACGTACGACCCTGCATGACAAGAGCATACGCATCTTCATTCTCCCGCTAGATCATACCATTTAGGCAGAGACTTACTGCCAGTGACTCAGTGGTTCACTGAATCAGAATTAGCCAAAAGGATGACTCACTGTAAACAATTAAGGAATTTAAAATGCAATTCATAAACACTATCCCCTTTATAATTCCTTGGGAAAGGATTATATACAGTTAAAAAGCTGACAGAATAATGCTTGCCAAGAGCAGGTGTGGACAGAATGAGCCCAGTATACCCCAGTAGTGGATGTAAAACTGTTCGTCTTTGCCAGTCCAAGTTTGGGAAGCTTTACTTACACAAGCCAAAAAAATAAACTTCACTTATGTCAGGGATTCATTTCGGGGAAAGGCAACATCATCACTGATTTTTAAATGGGTAAAGGTTCAAGATCATTATCAGAAACGGTCTTTAGAGGGCTATATTTTCAAAATTTGTAACCATCATTACACATTCTTAGAGCTAGGGCTTGCCTTACCCTCTCGTGCAATAATATTAATAAGTTAATCAACACAAACAATTTTTTTTAAAAGCGCTCTTAAGAAGCATTTCAATTTTAGAAACAGGTTGCTAATCCAGTTAAAGAAATGAAATTCATCCTAATGGCAGCATCATAAGGACATTCACAGAAATACTTTGCCATCTCTCAATTACAAATGAAATTTAAACCTATAAACCGAAGAAATATCATTGATAGACTCATAAAACTAAGCATTTTCATCTAGAAATCCTTGGAATTATTTAACAAAAGCAAAAAGCTATCTGCACAAAGATGTTCACTGTGTTGTTGTTAATGCAGACCAAGGACTGGAGACAATCTAAATGTTCAACAAATGGTAATCTAGTAAACAATGTACACCAACATTATGGTGCTTTATCTGGCTATTAAAATGGTTATAAAATTAGGCAGAAACATTGAAATATGTTTGCTATTTGACTGGAAAAAGGGCATATTATAAAAAGGCGCATACTATATGAGGCACGACACGTGTACATGTGGAAGTTCTAGGAAGCCAGATGCAAGAATTTATAAAGAAAAAATTAAAGATGGATATTGGCCATTTTTTCTTCTATTTGCTCTTTTCTATAATGCGATTGCTTTTAAAAATAAGAGAAGCAGACAAACACAGGGGCAGAACTCAGGAGCGAGAAATAAATAATGGCTAATCAATACAAGATGAATGTCAGGAAAAAGCAGACCCAGCAACACACACTTCTACTTCTGTTCCTTATTTGGGTCTTGGTTTAGTGCCCATGGAATCATATTTTGGGATAGGCATTTGGGACAACACGACGTTGTATAGAACCACTTTTAACAAAACCACCTCCATTTCCCAACAAAAAGCACTTTGCTGGGAAATACCATTTGGCGTTCGGTTAAAGCTAGAGTCCACTGTGAACTCTCTCAGAGGAGTCGGCTGACACTCAGGTGGAGGGACACCTGACTTCTGCCACTTTGAGCTCCTTGGTTCGAACCATCCTGGGCCACTGATTGCCGCAAAGGTCACAGTCCACCTTTTTAGGAGCATTTAGAGAAAGACCCCATTTCGTAAATTCTGCCCACTCTGCGAGGTCAGCTGAGTGTCCCTAGCTTTTCCAAATGTGAACTGGGGAGAAGCAGAGGCCACAGGAGGCGGACACGCGTCCGCAGACCCTCTACGAGAGGACCTGGGATAACATTTTCGAAAAAGTGCGTGTTTCTTTTTTTTTTTTTTTTTTATTCCGGAGTCCCAGGAAGTTTGCTCCGGCCCCTCTCATCCCTTCAGGGCCGCGGAAAACACAGCCATAAACGTGAGAACGGGTTCCTGGGAGTGAGTGGTGTCAGGGGGTCCCTGCAGTGTGACTGGGCACTCGCTCATCAAAATGCACCCCTGTCCCCCGCCCGGCGCCTCGCCTCGCTCCGCACGTCGGCGGGGAGCGGTTTCCCCATCGAAACCCAGCGTTCCCCACACGCAGATCGCGATGTCGCTGGAAACCCACGCAGGCGGTTCGCGGCGCCTCCGGCGCTCCTTAATTGGGGTGGGGGAGGGGAGGAACTTGGCCTTGAACTGAAGCGGCGATGGGCGAGCGAGAAAAGCAGGCCTACCTTAAAACTTTCCAGTCTTTGAGTGGATCCAAGTCAGAGATTAAGGAAACCATTGTCTAGGCGGCCGGCGGCGGACGCGATCCGAGGGGCGGGGTGAGGGGTGGGTGCAGGGGAAGGGACCCGCCACCGCCTCCCGGCTCCGGCCCGCGCCACGGGGCGCCCCGCGCGGCTCTTCCTCCTTCTAGGACTGATGAGCGCCGCTGCCGGCTTCTCTCCACCCCCCGCATCAATCCCGCGCTATATTACTTCGCAGCCTCCGCTCATCTCTGCACGCCGCCCCCGAAAGCCCTTGTAATCTGCTCCGACTGATCAAACTTGACCTTTTCGGAGCCCACTTTATTCCAAGCACTGCCCTCCGTTAAATCTCTCTTTATTAACACCGTCCTCCTTGGCTTTGTTTTGGAACAAACACAGATCCAGCCTGAAGCCTCCAGACTTTACCAGCAATCATTTACAGATTACTGCAAGCTGCAGCCCTCGCCTCCTTGGGGGCACTCCTGCCGCCCCCCGTCCCTGCCAGGAGACTGGTTAGGTTTCTCCCTTCCCTTTTTTTTGTGTGTGGTTTGGGTTCTGGGACACCAGCCCTGGGCTTAGAGCTTCCCTTAGAGGCTGTAACTACATGACTGTTAGCATTTGTTTTTTAAAAATAATTTGGAACCAGGCTACTAACAAGCTAGAATTTACAGTGTGTCTTCTGGCAGAGATTTTGCTACATTGCTGGTTTTTTTTGTTGTTGTTGCTGTTCCCCTTTTTCTTTTCTTTCTTGTGTTTTTAAATAACATGAAGGGCAGACTGCAGAATATCTGTAAACAGTAAGGGAAAAGGGTGTGGGCTTTTCTCCCTCGACTTGCATATCTTCTGTCCTTTACTTAAACCCAGGTATCCTTTCAGTCAGCATCTGAAACCGCTTGTAGCAGGTTCTTAGAAATATCAGGAGCAGATGGTTCTCCTCTGCTGTCTAGTTTTTCTCCGCCCTGTCCCGATGCAGGTTCTTTGTGAGAGCATAGATTTTCTCTTTTCATAAGCATGCTTTTCTGCTTTCCCAGGTGCTACCTAAGGCCCTATAGCTGAAGCCCTTACCTTGTCCTCACGGATCCTGGAATTAGAAGGCCTTGGAATCACCCAGCTCGGGGCCTCCACACCACAGCCTCTCAGGTCATCAGGACTTTATGGCTGCATGCCACAGGCACTTCACCTGATAGTCTCTCTTTATATCAAATTCTTCTTTTTCTTGCACTTATTTTAAAAGGAGTTTTTAAGATCCTTACCATAAATAGAAAATCAGCTTCACTGGTCTAACAAAACTGTTTTTATTGACCTAGACACACGGACCGGTTGAAGGCACTGATCCAGGTCTTCCCTTCTCTTGCTTAAAAAGAGTTTAGCGAGCGTTAGGGGGTGTTAAGGACACCCTGGCAGCAAACAGAGACTTTCCTCACAAGAAACAGTAAGGAGAATGAGGTGGAGTCAGTTTTGCCTTGACCTCACCGAGTGAACTCGTCAGCCAGGAAGTTTCCAAGTCCTGTCCTTACGGCAGAGCCTAGCAAGAAAGAGCGGCTGTTCCTTCCCTAGGGAGAGGTGTGGTGACAGCTTTGGGGAGCATGCTGCTTTTATTGTCAGGAAGTTCTAGTTCATTCCAAACGCCCCTCACAACATGTTAAAGCTGTTCCCTATTACCCTTTTCTCTTAGGACTCCTGTCCTTAAAATAGGCAGCGAACCCTCAGTTTAGATGAGTTTTCTCTTTAACAGTCATATACACTTTCCTGAATGGCTGTAAATGACTCTCTTCAGAAATGCGACTATCTCTATGCTAAAATTAAAGAGAATGTCCTACCTTTTACCAAAACCACTGCCTCTCTGGGGCTTCATGAGTCTTCCCTGGCTATCTTGCTGTCCCACTGTGGATCTTGGGCCACACTGTAATAATGTGTAAACATTTACATAACACTTCCAGTCTCCAAGTACTTCACCAAACGTGGTGATCATAACAGCACTAGTGTTGAGTGCACCTCCAAAGGGTTCTGAATGCTTAGATAATGAATAAAAGGTTCCTCCCTTTAGAAAGTTAGCAAGAGAAAAACAAAAGATTATCGTGAAATAGTTTCTGTGACTATAATGACATCAGCCTTATATCACGAACCCACCACACCCCTGAATTCACATCTGGGGAAGGAAGGGAAGTGAGTCTCTAACCCTTGGAGTTCAGGGTTAATATGTGAGAGGGGGAGGGACTTGGCTTTCGGCCAAAGAACAAAAGGACAAAAGCACGCTCATAAATTACGAAGTACTGTTTTAAAGCAGTAGCCCTTCCAAAAACTTTAAAAAGGCTTTGGAACTTTCCCTCAAATAAAATCTTTGCACCAAGTTCGCATACAGAAACAGATAACAGCGAAAGTTTATTGTCTGGTACGAGGAACCAATCTAATTTCTTTAGGTGCGTTAACTCGTTCAGTCCTCATAACGAACTCGTTAATGAGGTGAGTTACCAGTAGCACCCCTGTTTTATTAATGCACATGAGAACATCTGGGCATGCGGAACCAAGCAAATGGCCTGAGCTCACAGGGCTCATCATCCGCAGGGGGAGGTGTGAGACCTAGATGTCCCTAAGGGGCCCCGCTGGAGTAACCACTGCAGGGGACTGCAGGAGTCCCATGCTGTCACCCTGAGGTGTCCTAGAGGCACGCTCACCTTTAGGACTCACTTTGAAATCCACTTCCTGAAAGTACTTGGTGATGAGGGACTTAAATGATCTTTTAAAGGTTGTATTGAGTCCAAAACAGACTGAATATTTTGCTCTTCACCTTAATTTTGAGGACCAAGTGTTTTCTTAATATGCTGTCAATGAATTCCACGCTTTATACACTGCAGATTTCCTTTCCCCCATTCCC